TCTCTCTCTCTCTCTCTCTCTCTCTCTCTCTCTCTCTCTCTCTCTCTCTCTCTCTCTCTCTCTTATGCTCGTTCTTTTCTTTTGATCACAGTTCATCCACGTTGCTGGAATACTGCCAAGCTTCTTCTAACTCCTTTTTACCATTTCTTCCAACCTATGTCCCTGCTCCAATAAAACCTGACACTCGAGATGAAATTGTAACCTCCCGGATTCAAACCCAAATCCTATGGCGTGCTGGATAAGGGAACAGCAGCTATAAGGGCAGCGGTCTGTTCTTGTGTGCGCTCTGGTTTCCCGGTCTCTTTGTAAAATGGTCACTTTTAAGGACAAAGCGGGCTAACCCAGATTTCGGGGGTTTCCAGAAATCTCGATCTGCATCAAAAGTGGGCTTTGCCCTACCTTTTATAGGAGACGTTTGGTTTCACTGGTGTGTACATCTCCTTGGTTATAGAGAAAACTCTCCTTGTCTTTTAAAGAAACAGAAAAATGGGCAAAAACTTTAGCTTCGATTTTCTCAAACAGCATTTTTCGGGATAGCCCCCTTGTGTTTAAAAGCGATCAAAGGAAAATCACAGTTAAGAGATTTGGTGTGGGAGGTTAGCGGGCGCTCTAGTGTGGTTTGCTCTTTTATAATATTTCCTACAAATACAAAACACCTTATCGTCTTTATCTGTCCTCCTTCTTTTTTATGTTTGATACTCTCTTGTAACACCTCTAACTTTTGGCACTTATATGACCCAAGAGCCATGAAACGCCGACTAAAACAAACAAAAGAGATTTACGTTTTTACAATCGATATTATTAACCCTCTGCTCCGTAAAGCATTTACAGTCCTCAGAACGTTTCAGAGTTATGGGCAAGTTACATTTGCTCCCTCCCCACCTCCTCTATTTCTCTCTCTCTCTCTCTCTCTCTCTCTCTCTCTCTCTCTCTCTCTCTCTCTCTCTCTCCCTTTCGTTCTTTCTCTCTCTCTCCATCTCCCTCCCTCTCCCTTTCGCTTTTTTAAAATTAACTGTCAGCACAAGTGTCTTGCAGGGAAGTAGGAGGGGAGGATGGACCTTCGGAATTCGCTCTTGGGCTTTGGGTGGTTGTCGTTTTTTTTCGGGGAGGGGAGGTTAAGGGGGTAGGGGCAAGATATTTGATATGATGAAACCTGTTTTGTAAAGCGCAGTATCTATCCGGAGACGTCTGCAACGGAGATAGACCAATCAAATTGCTTTGTGGCTCTAGATCAAGTAAAAAATAGGTGGGGGGTTAGAGGGTTAAACGGATATTTTGCAGTTATGTTTGAAGTTGTTTTGGTTTTTTTAATAGTTGATTTGCAACAGTTTTAGTGGATGTAAGTGTGATCTGCAGCAAATAATACGCAATTTGACCCCCCGAAAGCAGTGCATCTGTGTGCGGGAGTGCGTCTCCGAATAATTCCTGGGTGCTCGCCGGAAACAATAATTATAAAAACCGTATTTACGGTCTCTGGCCGGAGACGTCTCCGAATATCTTCTGCCGTTGTAAAGACTGACCTAAGAGATACCTTCCCTTCTCCATGAGAGAAGACACACGCTCGCCGTCCCGCGCCAGTTCCTGCATCTGTGGAAGAGTCAGGTGCAGAGAGGTTGCTGCTTTCTATTTATTCACTTGATGTCACGCTTCAGCTCTGGTTTTTTTAATTCAGTTATAGCTTTATACGGGGTGCCTACCACGGCTGGAACGGGCCGAGTCGGTCGCCTGAAACAAAACAAAACATGTTTGTTTTAGGCGACCGAGTCGGTCGATAGGCCCGATCGCCCGATTCCATCCGTAGGGGGCACCCCGTATTAGAATTCACTTAAAGTGTTAGTAATCAGTCAGCTGAAGTTTTATTTATCAGCTATAGTTATAGTAATTAATCAGCTATAGGTTTAGTAAGAGATTTTACGTTTCTTGCAATACTAATATGTTATATTATAAGTGCTGAAGAAAATATGAGTTACCATGCAGAGAGTACCGTACAAAAAAAGGGGGAAAGATAAGAATGATAGATGTTTGACAGAAAAAAAAGGTTTTAGTAAGTGTTTCTGTATTTGAAAACACAAATAGGTCATATAAGTGCTGAAGCTTAAAGGCGTAAAAAAAACAACAACTAACGTACAAAGAAAAGGAGGAGAGATAAGAATGGTAGATGGCTAATGGGAAACTGGGTTTTAGTAAATACTGCGTTAAACGCAACACAAATAAAATGTCACATCGTAAGTACTGAAGATAAGAGGTGTTACCAGAGACTAACGTGCAAAGAAAAGAAGAAGAAATAAGGAGGATAGATGTTTGGCAGGGAAGTTTTGTTTTAGTCTTAATAAGAGTTGCGGCACTTGCATCATGAATAGGTCTTAAGGTAGCCGAAGATTAGAGGTGCTTATGAAAAGTACCGTGCAAATTAAAAAAAGGAGGAGAGATAAAGGCGATAGATTATTTTAAAGAAAAAAAAGGAACAATCAACACAAAAGCACCCGACAACCACCCATGAGTTCACTTTTCGTTTCAGCATTATGATGTCCAATGCTATTTACACAACGTGTGGAATGGCACATCGTGAACAAATTGCAACGGAGGGACAGGGGGGGGGGGGGCGAGAGTTTTAAAAAGACCCCATTATGTAGAAGAAGCCAATACAATGGAAATGATCATTTTTAAAGTAGTAGTTAGCCACAGAATCAGTAATATTCTGTAGGTTCTCAATGACATAAACAAGAGCTTGTCAACCACTTAAAAGCCAGCGGCCACTTGTGTCACCTTTATTTAAAAGTCCTGAATATTCGTACGGCAAATCTTTATGTGTATTTCCAAGCAGGGTAATGTTTTATGTAACGTGTAAGTGTGAGACAGAGAGAAAGAGGCTGACAGGGAGAGACAGAGATTAAGACTAGGCACAGAGAGAAAGAGAAACAGAGAGAGAGAGAGAGAGAGAGAGAGAGAGGGGGGGGGGAGAGAGAGAGGGGGGGGGAGGAAGATACAAAGAGGGACAGACAGACATACAGACACACACACACACATAAACACAAACACAAACACACACACACACACACACACACACACACACACACACACACACACACACACACACACATACACACAGTACCTGCGTAGATATCAGCGCCACCGCCTCGGGTTGGTTCAGCCTGACCCCTCGTGCCAGTCGACGCTGTGCCAGGAAGCCAGCCTGTGACACCAGAAGACCGTCCTGCTCTCTGGGCGACAGTCGCATGATGATGACGTACTACTGGTCAGTGGTCAGTAACTGGACCGAAGAGACATAATTATTTGCTTCAGTAAAGTTTTATTGGACATTAACGGCACTTGCATCACAATGAACTGAAATGAACAGGAGTGGGTGGGGGTGTGCGAGTGGAAAGCAAGAGAGAAAAAGAAAGACAGAAACGACAACAAAATGACGGAAAAACAAATTCTAGGCTCGAAAAGATCGTAAAAGTGCCGAAGAACAGAAGTGTTACCAGAGAGCAACTTACAAAGAAAAGAAGGAGGAAAGATAAGAATGATAATAATAAATGTTTGATAGGAAAGAAGGAGGAAAGATAAGAATGATAATACATGTTTGATAGGAAAGAAGGAGGAAAGAAAAGAATGATAATAAATGTTTGACAGGAAAGAAGGAGCAATTCATGACACCAGAGTACCCATTTTGTTGGCAATAGTAAATTAAAGCGTACCCTGATGATAAATATTTCAAGCAGGAAAAAGGCAGTACTGATAGACAGAAACAATGCTGGGAAAGAATGTACCGCTTTTTAAAAGACAAAAAGGTCTATTTTTAAACATTGACGTCGTATTTTTCGGTTATGTCTCTTGCGTATTGTAGCCATTGCCTGCTTTTGTCCCATTTAGTAAGAGACTCACATTTTGGTACCGCCCACCTACATGTATTTCCAAATGGAGCATTCAATAACACATGTAACAACACAGGTTTTTTTCACTACCTATCATCTTTATCATCATCATAAAGTGCCAGATCTGCGACAGACATTGACAATCAAGCTTCTCCATTCATTCCTTTTCTCGGATGCTCTTTAAATAGCTGTACTGCCCTGGTCTTTCCCCGTCACCCATTGGTTTAGATTCTCTTAGAAGGTTGCTCTGGGTTTACTCCTGCTTCGCTTGCCTTCAGTTTTGCCAGTGAGCGCTAGATGTTCACCGCCTGTATATCTATTCAAGGTGTCCTACTAACTAAATATGTCTTTTTCTGACTTTTTTCCTCACCACCCAGCAAAAATCACCTAATCGCTCACTTGTGGACGCTCGTACCCAGACTGGCAAACACTAGCATATGCATCCAACCAAAGTTGTTTCTTACAGCAAACGAAGAGACAAAACCGGTAACTTTTTTTTTTTTTTTTTTGCAGGGCTGAAAATATTCCTGAGGGTAAATAGCATGTAAAACCCATATGCAAATTTCTATTCAACTGCTTATTGTAAGACTCCGCTACACGCCATTTTGAGAGTGACATATATTGTGAGAGGCGTCGGTGGCCTAGTGGTTAGGCTACCGGACTCATAATCGTGAGGTTGCGAGGTCGGGGGTTCGAGCTGCGGGCCCGACGTTGTCCTTGGGAAAAGCACTTTACACGAATTTTCCTCACTTCACCCAGGTGGAAATGGGTACTCGGCCATAGACAGCGAAAGAACTTGGCAGTATGTTAGTGTTTTAGCGCCTATAATTAGCTGCTTGCACTGTATACTTCCCAGGAAGTTGAGTTTGTTTCAGAATGCTCCCAGGTCTGCTGGGGTAATAGTATAGATTGTGAAGCGCATAGAGCTTGCTGTTTAGCGGGGATTTGCGCTATACAAATGCTATCTATTATTCTTACACAGAGCAATCGTTATGCATCCCCGCCCCTCAGGAATTTTTTTTTGCCCTGTCAAAATAGATTTTTTTTTTTTGTAGGTTGCTGTAAAAAAAAAAAATAACGACATTGTTTGAATACACATTTGGTGTATATAAATATAGGTAGTGCAAACATGGGCACGAGAAGGTGAGAGGACCGTAGGTAAAGAATTAAGATCAGGGGGTGTTTGTATGTGATACATTTGCCGACTATCTCAATACAAACTTGGGCAAACGAGTCATTTTTATTCGTCAGTTACACATTGTTATCTTCATGATACTTTAAGTGACAGATGTTTCATGGACAGGCAGCCCTACATTATTGTCGGAGGTTACAATCGGGTACACTCTCGAATCACCAGCTTCTG